TCACTAGGTCCAACTCTGCGCCTGGATTCCGTGCGCCTGAGTCCGTCTGACCGAGTCCTCCTGTGCAACCCCGCTTCACCAGCCGCTGGTTTCGCCCCTTACCAGTCAGGCTGAAGAATTTGTTGTTAACGGACTTCCGAAAAGTTCAATTTTCCGTGTTCTGGCTGTGTTTTCTGTTGCTAATATTTAGTTGTCTCTAAACTTGGTTGTGTGAGAAGGCACAGCACATCCACCTGTGCCTCCATCTTGGTGGAAGTCTCTGAATCCTAAAAATCTTGATGCAGTATGAATTAGTATTTTATGGAAATAACAATAAATGGAAAAATATTTTATCAGTTGTATACATTTTCACATTACTAAATTTAAATGCAAAAACTAAAGTAGAATAATCAAAAACATACATTTGAATAGAAAATTTTAATTGACATACAATATTATATTATTTTCAGGTGTACAACATAATGATTAGACATTTATGTAACTTACAAAGCATCATCCAGTAAGTCTAGCACCCATCTGGCACTGTACACATTTATTATAATATTGTTGACTACATACCCTATGTGGTACTTTACATCCCCATGAATGTACTCATTTGTTTATACCATTAAAGTTATTACCCTGGCTGGTGTGGCTCAGTGGATTGAGCGCAGGCCTGCGAACTAAGGGATCGTGGTTCGATTCCCCGTTAGGGCACATGCCTGGGTTGCAGGCCACTTCCCAGCAGGGGATGCTCCAGAAGCAACTATACATTGTTAGGTCTCTCCTTCTCTCCTTCCCTTCTCTTCTAAAGATAAATAAATTAAAAATTAAAAAATAAAGATGTTAATAGTGTTTACAGTGTTTAGGAAGCCAAAAGAGTAGATTTCATTTTGATACTAGTTTTATTACCACTAATTATTTTATTTTTAAAAGATTTTATTTACTTTTAGAGAGGGGGAGAAATATCAAGGAGTGAGATACACATCAATCAGCCGCCTCCCACATGCCCCCCAACTGAGGACCCAGCCTTCAACCCAGGCTTGTGCCCCAACCGGGAATCCAGGCAGTGACCGACCCTTCAGTTTACAGGCCAGAGTTCAATCCACTGAGCCACACCAGCCAGGGCATAGCTTTATTACCATTAATTATTTAAACAATGTCATAGTTTACTATACTATTAATTTTGGTTTCAGATATCTTTTTTTTAAATTTATTTATCTTTAAAGGGGAAGGGAAGGAAAGAGGGAGAGAAACATCAATGTATGGTTGCCCCTCATGCGTCCCTTGCTGGGAACTGGCCTGAAACCTAGGCATTGCCCTCACTGGGAATCGAACTGTGATCCTCTGGTTTGCAGGCCCGCACTCAATCCACTGAGCTACGCCAGCCAGGGCCTTGTTTTCAGATATCTTTATTCAGCCAATTTTTAGTGGTTTATATATACCTCCCCAACATGTTATTATTTTCAAGCATGTAGAAAAATTAAAACGTTTTCTCATTGAGATTGTTATAAATTCAATCTAAAGTTATAGCTCCAGATTTTCTTTTCCTCTTTAAGGACATTCTCTTTTAACATGTTTAACTTTAGGTCCTTAGTTTCTATAATTCTTGAAGTAATAACTCCAGAGGGTCTGTAATAGTTTGTGACTGTCTTCCCAATAAAGACACTGCAAATAAAGGAAGTATAAAGTATTTCTAATAAAAACCTTTGATCCTTGGCTGGGTAGCTCAGTTGGTTAGAGCATTGTCCTGATATGCCAAGCTTACAGATTCAGTCCCCAATCAGGGTACATATAAAAAATCAACCAATAAATGCATAAATAATTGGAGCAATGAATCGATCTCCTCCCCCTCCCTATCTGGGTTGGGGAATCAGTAAATAGCCCTGGCTAGTGTGGCTCAGTGGTTGAGTGCTGGCCTGCAAATCAAAGGGTCACTGGTTCAGTTCCCTGTCTGGGGCACGTGCCTGGGTTGTGGGCTGGCTCCCCAGTAGGGGGTGTGCAGGAGAAAGCCGCTCATTGAGATTTTTCTCCTTCTCTTTCTCCCTCCCTTGCCCTCTCTAAAAAATAAATAAGTAGAATCTTTTTTTTTAAATCAATGAATAAAATTAAAAATATATAACTTATGGATTACTAAGGGAAGAGTTTATCACTTTAAATTTTTTTAAATGACGTTGTAATCTTACTGTTTTAAAGTATACAGTTGAGTGATAAGTATATTCACATTGTTGTGCAACCAGTCTCCAGAACCGCACCCATCCCTTTTAAGTAAGACTTTTTTTTAAAGCAGTTTTAGGTTTACAGCAAAACTGAGAAAAAGGTACAGAGATTTCCCATATACTCCCTGCCCCCACATAGTCTACCCTGTCATAAGCATCCTCAGCCAGAGTGGTATGTTTATTATAGTTGATGAACCTACATTGACACATCCCTGTTACCCAAAGTTCGTTGTTTATATTATGGTTCATTCATGGTGTACATTCTTTGAACAGATATTTATAATAACATGTCCATCATGATGTACAGAGTATTAGAAATTTAATTGTTATGTTTTAAAACAAGATACATAGTAATCATGGAATTCAATGCAGTATCAGTCTTGTTCTTCCTGATATCAGCTAGTTATATGAATGCTACTGAGATGTTCTTTAGTATTGTATTTTTTTTAATTTGTCTTAGAATCTGGAGGTACTGAAGAAGATACTTCTGTTATTAATCAATTGATAGCTCAGTTGTCTTAGAGCTATCAACAATTAATCACTGTTTTTTACAGAGAGTAAAATATTGTTTACAGAACCAAAACCAAGGAAAGAAATGAAATACTATTTTATGGGGTATCTTGGATCTTAGAGCTCAGATTGACTCAAGCAAAAAGGTGTATGTCTAAAATATAAAACATACGTGACCAGTGTGGATCAGTTGGTTGGGTGGTGTTTTTCAAAGTGAAAGAATGACAGTTGGATTCCCAGTGAGGGCACATACCTAAGTTGCAGGTTGGATCCCTGATGTGGCTATGTGGGAGAGGCAATGGATTGATTTTTTTTTTCTCTACTATTTCTCCCTTCATTCCCCCACCCCTCAAAATAGATAGCTAGATAGATAAAATTTTTAAAATATTTGCAAAATATAAAAGGAATATACAGGGTCTGTCTGGAAAAAGTCCAGCCATTGTTAATATGATGAGGATAGTTTGCACAACATCTATGTAACCTGACAGCCAAGGAGGGTGGACTGGAATGTGCATGTGTAAACAATGATGACATCACTGTAGTAGTCACTGGTGGTGGTAGATGCTGTTGAGTAAGCATATGTGCTGTGTAGCTGTCACATTCAAAATGACCCAGTCAGTAGAGCAGGAGGGAAAATGGAGACAACTATATGAAAAACAGTTTAAAAAACAGAAAAAAAATCCTTGAACATTTCTCTGGAAACTATTCAGATGATTCAGAAGGCCATGGCTATGGGCAACTGGTGATTGGCAGCTTCATAACAATGCACCCACTCATGTATTACTTCTTGTGCAGAGTTTTTTGGTGAAACATCAAATCACCCAGGTAATTCAACGCCCTACAACCCAGGTTTTGTGCCTGCGACTTCTGGCTTTTCCCAAAACTAAAATCACCTTTGAAAGGGAAGAGATTTCTGACCATTGATTAGATTCAGGAAAATATTACAGAGCAGCTGATGCAGATTCCAACAAAGGATTTTGCAGAGTGTTTTGAATTGTGTGAGGTCACAAGGTGCCTGCTTTGAAGGAGACTGAGGTGTCACTGTCCTGTGTACAATGTTTCTTGTATATTGTATCTTCTTAAATAAATGTCTTTTTTTTTTCATATTACCTCATAATTAAAAAAAAGTCCAAGGAAAATTCAAGTTTCGGGCACTGCTTGAACCTGATGTTTCAAGAATTTTTTAGGACACAGTCTCCCATTTCTCTGCTCTGTTCTCAGACTCCCGAGTGGTAGGAAAAAAAAACTACCAACACCACAAAGCCTTTGTCTTCACAATCCTCCCCAAATTTTCAAAGTGAAAAACTTGGCAAAGTTTTTGCCAAACTGACTCTTTTTCCTTTAGCTTCTCATTCCCCCCTCTTCCAGCCCATTGCAGCTACCGTTCCATTCTTTCTTTTTCTGTGAATCATAGTATTTGTTTTTTTATTCCTGGCTTCATTTAAGACAGTGTCCTCAGGATTCATCCATGTTGTAGCATGTGACAGATTTTTCTTTCTTTTTAAGACAGTAATATTTCATGGTATGCGTATATCACATTTTATTTATTCATTGGTCGATAAAAACTTGAATTGCTTCCACATTTTGGCTATTGCAAATAATGCTGGTTTTGAATATGGGTCCCTGCTTTTAATTATTTTGGGTATATACTCAAACTACAGTTGTTTTGTTCATCTGTTTTGAGGAATTGCCATACTATTTTTGTTGCAATCCCACCAACAGTGCACAAGGATTCCAATTATTCCAAATCTGGGTGTGTTTTTTTGCTTTGTTTGTATGTTAATAGTAGTCATCCTAATGAGTGTATCTCAATTGGTTGAGTGTTATTGAACAAAGTCAAAGGTCTCAAAGGTCTCCTGGTTAAGGTACATGCCTCGGTTGCAGGTTCAGTTCCTAGATGGGGTACATTTGAGAGGCAACTGATTGATGTTTTCTCTCTCATTGATGGTTGTCTCCCTCTCTCCCTCCTTTTTTCCTCTCTCTCTTTAAAAAAAAAAAGCTATTCTTACTAAGACTCCCATGATCCCTGAATGAGTACCTTATATTTTGAGCTCTGTGTATAATCATTTCAAAATAATAAACTTATCATAGAAAAAAACTAGGAAAAGTCATTCAGTGTAAAGAAGAAAAAATGATCGGTGGATATGTAATTATAAATTTTGTTAATTATATGATTAAGCTAAAACCTAGGTTACTTTTCATTCCAGTAGTTATCTTTTATTCAAAAACATCTACTTTGCTTTTGTCATGCAAAGCTTTCTTAACTTGATATTTTCCTGTTTTTAATTTTAGGGCAGCAGCAATGACTCTCCGCACGGTATTATTGTCATTGCAAGCACTGTTGGCAGCTGCAGAACCAGATGACCCTCAGGATGCAGTAGTAGCAAATCAGGTAAGATTTTCTTTTCTGCTTTTGGAAGACTTTCTTATATTTAGCTTTTAGTCTCTAGTGGTTTGCAGTGTTAGTATACTAATATTGGAACATACTTCTCTTGGAGCTCAATTTGGAAATGGTTTCCTTTCTTGATTTTTAGTGTACTAACTTGATTGGATATATGCTAGATACATTTTTTAAAATGTGAAAATTTTCAGACAGCTGACCCTTAGTTAAATATCCAAGTCACAGACTTGGAATTCTTCTCTGTGTATGTATCCTTTTCTCTTGTTGATGCCAGTTCCAACAGAGGATTTTGCAGAGTGCTTTGAACTATGTGAGGTCCCAGGGTACCTACTTCAGAATCCTTTTTGGAATCAGCATTAGTTGATTCTTTTTTTTTTAAAACATACTTTATTGATTATGCTATTACTGTTGTCCCAGTTTTTCCTCCTTTGACCTGCTCCACCTGGTACCTTCATTCCCTCCAGCACTGCTGTATTAGTTCAAGGCCATGGGTCATGCATTCAAGTTCTTTGGGTACTCCATTTCTTACACTGTTCTTAACAATCCCTGTCTATTTTTGTACCTGCTAATTTGTACTTCTTAATCTCTGTACCTTTTTCCCTGTTTTCCCTCTTCCCACTCCCAACTGATAACCCTCCAAATGATACTCATGTTCATGATTCTCTTTTTGTTCTTGTTTTGCTCAGTTTGTTTTTCAGATTCATTTGTTGATAGTTGTGAATTTATTGTTCTTTTTAACATTCATAGTTTTGATCTTCTTTTTCTTCTATAATTCTTTCATATAATAATGGCTTAGTGATGATGAACTCCTTTAGTTTTACCTTGTCTGGGAAGCACTTTACCGGCCCTCCCATTCTAAATGATAGCTTTCCTGGATAGAATAATCTAGATTGTAGGTCCTTGCTTTTCATCACTTTGAATACTTCTTGCCAGTCTCTTTAGCATGCAAAGTTTCTTTTTAGAAATCACTAGACAATCTTATGGAGACTCCTTTGTAGATAACTATCTCCTTTTCTCTTACTGCTTTTAAGGTTGTCTTTATCTTTAGCCCTGGCTGGTGTCGTTCGGTGGATTGAGTGCTGGCCTACGAACCAAAGGGTTACTGGTTCGATTCCCAGTAGTCAGGGCACACGCCGCCTGGGTTGCAGATAGGGTCACCAGCTGGGAGCACACAAGAGGCACCACACATTGATGTTTCTCTCCCTCCCTTTCTTCTTCCCTTTCCCTCTAAAAATAAATAAATAAAATCTTCAAAAAATATATTTTCTTTCTGTCCTTAACCTTTGGCATTTTAATTTTGGTGTGGTCCTATTTAGGTCCATCTTGTTTGGGACTCAGTGCTTCCTGCACCAGGTTAGGGCAGTTTTCTTTCATTATTTTTTCAAATAAGCTTTCATTTTTTTTTTTTTGCTCTTTTTCTTATCCTTCTGGCACTGATACGATTCAGATGTTGATAAGTTTGGAGATACTCCAGAGGCTCTTTAGCCTACCTTCATTTTTGGGATTTATTTGTTTGTTTGTTTGATTGATTGATTGATTGATTTCCTTTTTATCTTTGTTTGAATGCTTTTTTTCTTCCTTACATTCCAAATTGTTGATTTGATTCTTCAACTCCTCCATGTTGGTTCCCTGTAGGTTTTTCTTTATTTCACTTAATGTTAATGTAACCTTCATTTCTGCCTGGATCTTCTTTATGCTTTTGAAGTACCCAGTGAGTTCTTTGAGCATCCTGATAGCCAGTGCTTTGAACTCTGTATCTGGTAGGTTGGCTATCTTCGTTTTAGCTCTTTCTCTGAAATTTTCTTTTGTTCTTTCATTTGGGCCATACTTCTTTGTCTCCTCATTTTGTCAGCCTCTCTGTGTACTAGGTAGAGCTGCTATGACTCCCTATCTTAGTAATGTGGGCTATTGTAAGTTGTAGAAAAGTTCATCTGTAAGTTACTTGGCCTGGAGTCTTTAGTAATGACCAGGGCAGGGCACCCCATGTCACTGCTCTGTTGCTGTGTTAAGAAGAACTCGGGGAGGGGGACAGTGCTGCTGTCTGGCCTCTGGAGTTTTGCCTGAGAGGAAACCGGGTCCTGGAACTCACCTGATGCCAGTCATCTCAGTTTCTCCTCATTTGCCACTGGTGCCTTCCAATTTTTGCCCTGATGCTGAATCCCAGAGGGAGTGAAAATCCTAAGTTCTTTGCAGACCCTTTTAGAGGAAACTCCTAAGAATCCCAGTTTCTTCTGCTGCCCCAGCCCCCATTGGTTTTTACTGCCAGAAGTTATGAAGACTTTTATCTCCCTGGTGCTGAAACCCCGGGCTAGATGATCTGGTCTGGGGCTAGGATCTTTTGCTCCCAGTATCCCACCTGATTTTTTTTTATTCATCACATATAGATGTGGGACTGCCCTTTCTACATCTCAGCACCAGTCCACCATGCCCCTCTGTGCCTCTCTACCCCTCCTACCTGTCTGGATGGATGTAGCTTCTTTAAATTTTTGGTTGTCGGACTTTGGTACAGCTTGATTTTCTGACTATTCTGAGTGATACTTGTTTTTTAGTCTAGTTTTAATTTTTTCTGTAGTTTGCAGAAGCGTGCTGTGTTTACCTATACCTCAATCATGACTGGAAATCTTATTTATTTATTTTTCGAGAGGAGAAGGGAAGGAGAAAGTGAGGGAGAGACACATAGATGTGTAAAAGAAAAAAGAAAAATGGCTTGGTTGCCTCCCACATGTCCCGAACTAGGGGACCTGGCCAGCAACCCAGGCATGTGCCCTGACTAGGAATCAAATCAGCAACCTTTTGGTTTACAGTCCAGCACTCAATCCACTGAGCCACACCAGCCAGCATTTCTTGTTGATTCTATTCCCAGAATCTCCTGTTACCATACTTCTCTGCCACAGTACACGTTTTGAAATTTTTCATTTCTACTGCTATGATAGAGCTCCCTTTTTCAGCCACTTCCTTACTGCATGTTCTATATAAATACCAGTTAGCTTTATAAAGTGCAAATCTTACTTTACTACTGAAAGCTTTCTACTGTTACCTACTTGGTAAGTCTAAATTCTTTAGTTTGCAGAGTTTTCCTCCATGATTTGAACTGTCTGCAAATCCAGCGTAATTTCCTAAATTCTAATTGTTCTTCAAATTCTCGTTTTTTCAGGGTGATCTTCATTTCTATATGTCATTTTAGCCAATCTGCCATGTTTCTTCTACCTGAGGAAACTTTCTCTCTTAGCAAACTCCTCTATTTCCTTGCAAAGTTGTTCACTCTTTTCTTCTGTATATATATATTTATGTTAAAATGTTCTATTTGTCTCAGAGTGCTTAGAATTATGGTTTCACGTGTTATATATATGTGCTGTTGATTCATTCTTGGTAATCAGGAGCTTAGCTTGAGTCTTAGCTTTGATTTCCTATTTAGTTCTGAGCCACAGATGCTGAGGTGGATCTCAGTAGTCTTAAAATATTAAAGATGTATTAAACACTTTAAAAAGATATAAAGTGAACTGAACAGTTATTTTAAGTGCATACTCTGCTTTATTAAGTAATAGAATATTTGAAAATAAATTTACCTCTTCTCAATGCATATGGGAAGTTTTAAGGTAAGTTCATAATCATCTCAAAACATGTGCTGTAAGTTAGGACATGTGCTATAAATAAGGGTTTTCTTAAATCACTATACACTGATACAGCTCTAGCAAAATAGTGAAGTCTAGTTGTATATTCTAGCCTGAACTGTGGTTAATACAAAAGTTTGGTCACATTTATTAATGTCCACATTATTTTAGAAACTAGTAATTCTGTTTAGTTGTGTAATGCTTGCCCTATAGTGTTCAGAAACATCTCTAATTAAAAAGAATTTCTGACATCTCACTTGACTTATTTATCAACTCTAATCTCCAATTTTAACAAACAAAAAAGAATACTATTATTATCCTTTGTTTTTCTTTTGTTAATATAACTTAAGAATTATAGCTTCAGGTTAAACAGGCTTTTCGTGAGTGACATAGTTTACTTGCAGTGGACAGTGAATCAGTAACATTTAAAATTACATTAGTTTTATTTAGAAAAACCAGGTTATTGGGCAATTAGAACTGAGCTACTATACTGAATGTTACAGCTCTATTGTCATGTATGTCAATTTTTTTTTTCCTTATATAGTACAAACAAAATCCTGAAATGTTCAAACAGACAGCTCGACTCTGGGCACATGTGTATGCTGGAGCACCAGTTTCTAGTCCAGAATACACCAAAAAAATAGAAAATCTATGTGCTATGGGCTTTGATAGGGTAAGTAATGTAAAGGTATGCTGATTTTGCTATATTGATTGATTTGATTTTTTTTTTTAACTTTTTATTTAAGATTTTATTTATTTATCTTTAGAGGGGAAGGGAAGGAGAGAGGGAGAGAAATATCAACATATGGTTGGTTGCCTCTTGTGTGTGCCCTGCTGGGAACTGGCCTGCAACCCAGGCATGTGCCCTGACTAGGCATCGAACCACGATCTTTTAGTTCGCAGGCCTACGCTCAGTCCACTGAGCCACACCAGCCAGGGTGATTGATTTGATTTTTTATGTTATTTATTTTAGATAAAAGAGAAACATTGATTTGTTGTTCCACTTTCATTGGTTGATATCTGTATGTGCCCTAACGGGAGATCAAACCTATGGCTTTGGCATTTTGGGACAGCACTCTAACCAACTGAGCTACCCAGCCAGGGCAATATATTATTGATTAATTTTAAATGATTGAGGCAAATTATTGGCTAACAAAATTTGTTCAGAAATACTCTAAATTTAGTATTTATTTATTTATTTTCTTTACTGGTCAATAGAGAGGAGGAAGGGAGAAAAAGAAAAACATTGACTTGTTGTTCCACTTACTTATGCATTCATTGGTTGATTCTTGCATGTGCCTGACTGGAGATCAAACCCACCCACAACCTTGGCATATCAACTCTTGTAGTTGATATAATTGCTGTAACTAACTGAGCTATGGGTCCAGAGCTCTAAATTTAGTTTTGATAAGTTTTCTGTTATTAAAAATCAGTGATTTTTCTTTTCATCTTACTGATTCCAATCATTAGTTTTAGAAGCTTTTATGCACTACAGTTCAACAAAGATAAGAACAAAAACAAAGTGTGGTTCTCAATATAAAGACAATGAATGATTCAATTTTTAAAATCTTGAAAAAACAAAAAGAAAAGTTTCCTTGAGATTTGATTTTTTTGCGGGGGGGTCCTCTCTTTTTTTCTCTACAGAATGCAGTAATAGTGGCCTTGTCTTCAAAATCATGGGATGTAGAGACTGCAACAGAATTGCTTCTGAGTAACTGAGGCATAGTGAGAGAGCTGCTGATATAGTCAAGCTTGCCCTTCTTGAGGAGCATCAACATCTGTTATTTTTAGGATTCTGCATAGATTTCTTTTAAACTGGCATTCTTGCCTAATGTTGTTATCTAGGCACCATTGGAGACTGAAAAAAAAAATCCCTGCTCTGTAAATAAAGCTAATTAAACGTCTGTAAATTTAAAAAGGGGAAATACTTTAATTTTTTTTTCTTACTTAATAGTGTAAAAATTCTTTGAGCTAAGCGAAACCATGGAAAAAACATGCTACTTTAGTGTTTAGCAGTGTACCAAGACTAGCAAGAGTTTGCTTCAGGATTTTGTTGAATAATTAAGATAATATTTTGAGTGTGTCAGGACCATTCAAATTGTTGGTGTTGCATCACAGCTACCTTAACTGTTTTTAACATGGATCCTCTGTGCCTGTGAATTTACTTGCATGCTTGTACTTGACTTCTTAGGATGGGTAGCTGAAAAGACCACCATTTTAAGCTTTTGAGAATTCTTAAGTATGAGATGTATCCAGAATTGAAGATGGTGACCTATTCAGAGCCTTTTTGTCCTAGTCAGCAATCTGGGACACCATATTTATTTTCCCCCCTCTTACCGCACACAGCTAGTATGCTAATAGTAAATTCTTTGGGAAATGTACTGAGGGGCAGTATCGCCTGCTCCATTTTTAGGTCATCCTTGTGGAATGTTTTGTCACAATTATTTAGTCTTAAAAACATTCCTATATTAACTAGTAACGTAGAAATGGAGCTGCCAGTTTTGTTTTTCTTGCAAAACTAGTAAATACTTGATGTTGCAGTATTCCCAAGAGTTAATGAAAGAGCCCAACTTAATTTTTCAAGTGAACCTCCCATTTTTCTGTTTGTAAGTTGGTGAACATTTCTTTGAGAACTTGAAAGGATGAAATCAACTGTTTTTAGGTTTTTTTGCCTTATTTTGGCTTTTTAGAGATTGCTTTTTCAGATACTTCAAAGTCACCCTTCCTTACAATTTCCCCCTATTTACACATGAAAGCTGTGTTGGTGTTTTACTGTACATACTTCAGATGCACATAGGAATAGCAGTGTGTTACAAATCTAGCTTTCTTTATGATGTTTCTGATAATATGGAAATTGAAAACTTTACCTTCTCTTGTACATAGACTTTCTATTCGTATAAAAGTTACATTTCATTCTAAGTTCTACAGTTTGAAAATTATTAGTTTTGCAGCTCAAACACTAATGTGACCATTTTGTGAAGGTAGAAATGGATTTATGCAGGCAATTCTATACATAGAAACACAGTGCTTATTAAATTTTCAGGACCAATGCAAATAATAAAAATGTAATAGAACCGGAATGAATTAAAGTAAGGCTGTATATTGAAAGTCGTATTATAAAAGGTTTTCTTTCTTCAAGTGTTATTTATCCTAAATTATAATTGTTAAGTGTTTGGAAAGTAATTTTGAACCATAAATCTAGCATAATTTCATTTGACTTCTCAATAATCTTAGAAGCAATAAAAGAAACCATTGTTAAATATATGGTAATGTTAAAGATGTGATGGTTCTTCCAAAAACTTGTAAGGCTTTCCTAATCGATAGTAAACTCTTGTAGTTGATATTATTGCATACTAAACACAAGTTGCTATGTTTTTTTCTCTATATGTTTGCTTAAGCATAAATTTCTTTATACAATCAATCTCTTCTAATTGTTGTAGTTTAGTTACTTTCTAAAGATGCCAAAGGAAACAAGATTTTTCTTTATTTATTTAAATAACTAAAACCTTGTACTCTTCTTTATACTTTGAAATAAGGTTGGAATTGTGTGAAAGTGTGGACAGTTTTGTTATATTGTTGATTAGAGTTCATTTTTTTTAGTGGAGGGCAGCTTGGTAATAGTAATATTTAGATTATTTCAAATATCAAACATCTACCCAGTTTACTATTTGCCTATATTTTCAGGGTATATTTAATTGTTCTGTGGTTAGACAAAGGAGAAAACTCAGAGGTTATTAAATGTCAAGCATTACATACTTAGCTCTGGGAGGCAGCTAAACCTTGCCTTTGATTTTTATGCACATTAGCTCTGTAGGGTATCTATTCATCTAACTATAATGCAACATCCCAGTGCCCAGGAAATTAGTATGAGAGGTTCTCCATAATGGATTTTTTCATTTCAAAATTTATTTACCTCATTTTTATTTTCATTTAATGTGATAATCTCCCTTTCTGGGACATTTCCCGCTGTCATCCTGTGTGATTTTCTTCCCACTTCTCTATAGGTAGATTTACTTCCTTAAATATAGAAATTAAGGCAATTTTTTCCTTCTGGTCTTATATGTGTTTGGGAAAAGGACGCGAAAGTACAGGTGTAGGAAAACAGGTACCCTGGCGAAAATTATTTTTACAATTCTCAATTTTTTAGGATTTTTTAGTTTTAAAGGCCTCAAAAATTACGGTAAAAAATACATTTAATGATACCCTTTTTAGGACAGGCAGATTTGCTAGAAGTCACTGATAACGCAATAGTGTAATCAGGTCTATTTCATAAGTATGTGCCTGACTTTTAAAACAACAAATAAGTAGTTGTATAGTATTCAGTACAGATTACTGAATGAATAGATATTTGTGACCCAAATAAACATACAGTAAGTAGTATATAAATATTTGGGGAACTTTGACTAAATTAGATGCTCTGAGTTGGCTCCCACAAATGTTTGGAATTGTGACTAAGGTTTACTTAAACACATAATACATTCAAATATATATATGTTTAGGTTCTGAGTATTTTGTTTTTGAAAATCTATGAAATGAAGACTTTTTGGGGGGGGGAGTATTTCACCTTTGTGATTGTTGGTGGCGCTTAAAACTATGCAAAATAATTTTTTAAAGTATCTATGAGAAAGAATTGGCAGTTAAAGTGGACATTGCTTATTTATGCACTACAGAATGTAGCATATCGTGTTACTGTTTAGGCTGCTTAATAAGTTTATCAATGTGAAGAGTGGATCTCGGCTGTAAGTGGAAGCCTGATTTGAGCTTTTAAAACTGCAATTGGAGTAAGTTAATGATTCCACATCTTGTGTTTCCACAACAGAGGAAATAAAGCATTTTGTTGTTTCAAAGATTTAAGATGGGTTCAGGCAGGGAAGAGTTGGAACCAGGTAAACTTGTACATATGTGGAAACAATGTTTGGATATAAAAAAAGGAAGCCGTCTGTTTACAGTTAACTTTATTTCATGGACTTTTACAAAATAATGTTATATTAATCACTTTTCTAGTTAAAGAAATTCAATTCCAGGGTACAACCATTGATTTTTAAATATTTGCATTTCCATTTTTTCAGTACCAGTTTAAAATGAACGCTTAATGTCAGCTATTTGCTATCACTGGGGAAGAAGGCAACTTGAAGTACTTACTGCTAAATAGCCTTTTTTCCCAAATGCAACTTTTCTGCATTGTCTACATACTCTGTCACATGTTCTACTTGCACTGTTGCAGTATGGATCAAAAATCTTGTGGCACAGGGATAGGAGAATGTCAGTATCTCCCTTGTCCTGTTCTGTTATGGCTTTATTGGACTGCTACTCTCATAAACCTGTGACCATCACCTAAATGTAAGTTGAGAATGTGCCACCTAGTGCTTGGTTATTTTAACCATGCTGCTATATATATATATACACACACAAATATATATAATCAGGTGTGGCACAGTTTATCAGTTTGATTCTAGGGGGTGAGTGGATACAAATCATTGCACTGTGCTGTTAACCCATCCTTGTGTGCTTGCTGTTACCTAATTTTTACAGGCATCATAATAAAAGCTAGACTATTTCTTCTGGGGGGAAAGATACTTATTTAATGTAACTTAAAGACTTTTCCAATAGAAAATGAAATACTATTGAAAATAATGTCTATTTTTTAGCTTTCAGCAATTGATGGTGCTTTGTTGTGGTGTCTGCTGGAAGTCTACTGCCATTATAGGGATTCTCATTAACCTCACCAAGAAAGAACCTTGCTTGTTAGCTTCTCTAGATCTTTATTCTAAACCATCTGTTAGTGATGATAAATTCTGTAGGAGGGTCTATCTTGAGCCGTTAACTTCCTGTATGGGGAAAATGGGTGGGTTACCAGAAAGGCCATGAAGCAGGGTGGGCTGTGGGTGGAGGGTTGGTTATTTGTCTTGAGAATTAAAACTACGAAACACTTTTGTACACAACTGATTTTTTAAAAAATAAACACATTTTTAAAGATGTTGAATTTTTTTCCCCCATTACTGGGAATTCTTAAAAATAAATACATGCATGTTTTCCCCCGAAAATGGTTTATATCTTCTTTCTGGGTACTCATCTACGGACAAGCAATTAAGCCTCCACATTACTTAAACCAGGTAGTGGTTTCTCCTAGACCAGTTTCAGAATGATGAGCATATGATGATATATGCAATAAATTATGTTGAGTCCTTGAATTTAAAAATGGGTGGACATTTTAAAATTCTAATTAAAAGTATTTATTTGAAAATAGAACATTATTTGCTAAGTTCTAATTCAAAATTAGAATAATCCAGACTTTGTTGGTACTGAAAGTAATTTTTTTAAGCTATTTTCATATGTGCACACAGATCTTTCTGGAAAGGGTACCTGTTTACAGTGGAAAGGACTGAATTATGTCAGAAAGTCTTGGGTCACTACCCTTGGATTACCCCTGCCTCTATTAGTAGTGATAATATAGAAGAGCTTACGTTATTCAGGATTTGTAAGTTTACATAGCAGAACTAATAGTTACTTTGTGTCTCTAGGGCATTCATAACCAGCTTTCAGCAGTCCTATGAATTTTTCTAGCTTGAAAATGGAATTGTTCCTGACTGGAGTACTAATACGAAGTGCTCTTTTCATGCGCAAGCTGAATCTTTACCTATTAAAAATCAAGTATAACAAATGGAATTCAAGTGAGCTCTCATGCCAGTTCCCACCAAAGGTTGGCCAGATTTAAAGGATAGTAAACACTTGGTCGTGTTTTGATTTTATCATCAAAGAATTAAAGATTTCCATCAGTATCAAAGCTTTTAGGAGTATCTCACGGTAATTTATTGTCTATGCATGTCATGTTGTAATGTTCATTTCACCCCATTTAATTTCAGTAAAACTACATTAAAGCACAACTTCATCATTTTACTTAAATCTTCCTATTACAAGTTACCTTTTAAGGTG